TCAATACATTCTGTGTATACAGTGATAACTTTTGTAAAGTCACTCACAGGAAACTGACGTAGACATTCTGAAATTGATCTTGAATCGAAGATGCAATCTGATACTGGTTCTTAAAATATTACTGCTCTAATTTTGTCAAAAGAACTTGGGAATTACTAATATGCATAAATAAATTTAAATTATAACTTTTATGACTCATTTTGTAACTTCCAATAAATATATCAACAAATGACAATCTAAGAAAATACATCGCAGTAGCTACATAGAAATAAGTGAAGCTTAAAGACATTGGTGGATTCATTGTGGCAAAATTCACTATATAATATGCTTGAGTTCATTTTTTAAAAACATGTTTTACTTTAAAATAGAATGATATTTACAGAAGGTGTGAAGATAGTACAACATTTCCATATACCTTCCATTCAATTTCTCCTTGTTATTAATATCCTATATTGATATGATACATATGCTATAATTAAGGATTCTATTTTGATACATAGCATTAGCTAATGTCCACACTATATTTATTTATTTTTATTTATTTATTTATTTTTTGAGAGTAAGATCAATTTTATTTAATATAACAGCCCTCAGGTTCCCCGCCTGGTGGCGCTGCGGCAGGCAGGGAAGGCCACCCTGGTTCAGCGCCAGCCGCTACCCTTTCTACCTCCCCCAAAGGCAGCCTCCAAAACTGCCCAGGATCTCGGGAGCCCACCTTGGTAGCAGGGAATAAATAAAAAGAATTAGTAAGAAAAATACACACTTCATTTTTCTATTAAAAACAGTATTGGCTGTAGGCAATCCTTTCTCATCTCCTGGCCCTCAGCTTGGCCGAGGGCGATGGCACTCCCTTCTGGGCACTGCCTGTGGCCTCCTGTCCAAGTGGCCTTGCAAAGGTGCCCACCTGAGCCGCACGGCTTCCCGCCTGCAGTGGGTGAGGTCACAGAGGACGGGACGCTTTCTGGTCATTTCTGAAGACCAAGCACTAGCCGGAGCTTCAGGCCCACACTATATTTATTAAAGTTTACTTCTCCATCTAAGTGCACTAAACTAAAAGAATAAAATTTGCATAAAATGTAGAATCATTAAAGCACTGCCCTGGATACATGTGTTTCCATGGAACCCAACAAAATCCAGTATTTTATCTTTTGGTTTGATGTGTATTATTTGTCATCTGAAGTCTACTCTCCCTTTTCCAGATTTTTCAAATATAGTACTCAGTAAAGAATTGTTTCATTTTTAAACATCTAAGTAAACTTCATTTCTCCAAGCCTCATTCTCTTACTGTTCTTTGCTTAGATGGTCTCCTTTACTCTTTGTCCAGCTTACAGTATTTTGATTAATCCCATAAAACATAGGGTAAGAATGTTCTGTTCTGTGGTTTAAGTCCTAAAGCTGCTAAAAATCAAATTGCAGTGTTTTTAAAATTGTCTATTTTAATCAAGTGAAATATATATCAGGATATGTGATCAAGCTATAAGTT